CTGGGGGAGCCGCAGGCGCGATACGCGCCGAGCCCGTCTTCGTCGGAGGCGGCTTCCGAGCGATTTAAATAAGGAAGAGCTCCTTCCCGGAGAGGTTACATACCAGCGCTGTGTAAAAACGAAAGTTGAACTGTGCGGACAAAAGGTTGTCTCTTCCTCCCATCTTTATAAAGGGGAACAGCCGCTTCCTGCCGAGGTGACATACAGTCCCCAATTCCTGAATAGGATTCAGCTAAGGTCTTTACATTAGTTCCATTACATCAGGACTGTACGTTAGAGATGGAAATCTTTGTGGCCAGGTTTTGTTTATTTTTACCCTGTCAGTTTTGGCTCAGTAACTCCAGTTTCTAAAGGGTGAAACGCGATAGCTTACATCTTAAACTTTCAGTAGTCTAATTTTCATAATTTAGCACAATTAATTGAAAGAAAAATTGCATCTTATAGCCTAAGTCCATGTATAAGGTTAAGATTAATCTAAAACGTCAAATAATGCAGGTTATATTCATTTATTGTATTTTGCAGGTTATGGGAAATACTGTCCATATTCAACTTAACCCTGGCTGGGTTACGTTTAGCACTAAAGGGTACTCTTAATTTCACTACACCATTATGAAGTTTCATTTCACACGTGCAGACATAAACGTGTAATAGTTTGAAAATACATGGATTTTGGCATCTCTGACACCAGTCAACAACTGAAATGAACAGTATTAAGCTGACCTGATTGTTTAAAATGACAAGAAGTTGGTGATTTGGTTTGGGATGCTGAAAATGGTGATATCTCTGACTTTTCATAATATAAAATACCAATATTTTTAATGCTTTTGACCGTTTACTGGTATTAGTTTTTCTTTGCAGTTATTAATGTGTGCTTGCTGCGTTATAAAGGGAAAGAATACCTTTTCCTCAGTGAGTTTTATTTTTTATATGTATTGAGTTGTTCTGGAAAATTGAGATTAAAATCACCTCATTAAAATGCTGATTGATCATTTGTCATGGTAATGGCACCGTAAGATATTGGTGACTTTTACCAAATTACTGTTTTTTAGATATTTCCCCCTAATTAGAATATTACAGCTGCATTTGTTGAACTCTACCTGTTATTTCAGATATTTCGCAATACAGTGCCTTATCATGTTAGTCTCTTGTTAGCCAAAAAACCAAATGATGTTGCAAATGTGTGATTGCAGGTGCTCACGCACGCCTGCAAAATATAACTAGGGGGGAAAAAAGTTGCTAGATATGAATTTCACCAATAATTTCTTTTCATATGGTGAAAAGTAACAGTTAAAATGCACACACAAATGCACATGCACAAAGTGCTTACATTGATACCACTTTATACTTCTTCATGTATAGTGATAGTTCTTCCACACACAACTGTTCATGAATTTTAAAGTTTTATTTTTTAATATCTGCCTATTGCACTAGGGAGCTAGGAAAAAGATGAAGTTGAGTTGATTAAATTATTTATCCCTACAGCTGAAGTGAGTTTGAAGGCTCGCTGAATGTATCTGATTTCTTGGCTCCTCTTTCTCCCCTTCCCCCCCTCACTTCATCCTGGTTATTTCATCCATATCATCCTGCCAGCAACAGTACACTTACTTTTTCAAGTAGGAAAACTAAAGACAGATATTTGTAGAGAATGTGCTTCAAGTATCACATTATGTGAAATAGGCAGTATCATTTTTGTGACAGATCTGGATGGTACCTGGAATTTTCTATACACTTATTTGTGTTTTAGTTTGCAACTTCACTTTCATATGTGGGAAGAAATGAAAAGGTAAGTTTAAGGGTGAGTAAGTTCCTATTGTATTTGCAAAAATTTCGTTTTAATGACATTCCTGTATACTTCACTACTTAGATTTTGGAGTATAAATTTATGCATACTTAGATATACAAATATTTTTCCCCAGTTACCTAAAGTTTTCTTCAAATGCTTTTTCTTTTTTTGAAAACACAATCTAGCTCCTTTTTGTAGTACACAGTTAGCATTTATTGGTGCTAAACTTAACACGTTTATGTATTCTTGTCCCATTAAAAACAAAAACATTAAAAGTAACAGTTCGCATTAGCGTTGGACTAATGTCATCCTGGGTCTTATGGATGAACTGTTAATGCTTTAAATTCCTCTAATCTGCAGTCTGTTAAGGGAAAAAAATTAATTGATTTGGTTTCTTTAAAATGTTACATCTCAAAACTAAACGTAGAGCTTGCACAACTGCAAATTGTAGTTTTAGCTGGAATTGCAGAAACATTC